TCAGGGTTTAAGATGTTCTGTAATGATTACAGTTTAGCATGAGACCTTCATGGTGAGTGGGGAACAAATTGCTGGCCACTGCTGGAGAGAGAGTACTGGAGTAGATGGCCCTCCAGCCTCATTTGTGGCAGTGCCTCTGTTCCTGTGTTATTAGGGTGAGTAGTGATGGGTTACGGCAAATAATCTTGAATGGCCATCTCATTAAACACTTGTGTAATTGTTCCTGTTCAAGTGAGCTCGGAGTCTACTGCCATCTGTTAAGCAGACTCAATTAAACAGCAAGGGGTGGGGAGAATAAAGTGCAGATGCTAATGCATTGTGTAAACCACACTGAGCAGAGCTCTCTTTAAATATTTAAACTATTTCTGCCAGTTTCTGGAATTGAAATTTACTTTTCAGTCTTTGTTTGGATTTGAGAAATCAAGGCCATTTATTTACTATTATGTAAATTGCATAGCACAGTCTGAGATACTGACTTTGTACATATGTTAAATAAGAAAAGTAGAAAATAATTTGAAAATATTTGCTTAGATTTTTTTTTGCAAGGACTGAAATTTTCCTGGTATGAAAAGGGGAATATTTTTTGATCTAGATGAAAATTCCATATAGGCATATCGCATAGAATCAGATATCCAAGTAAAAGACTATTGCTGGGGTACTGGAAGAGCAATTAATATGTAGCCTGAGGGGGAAGGGTCAAGGGACCAGATTTGTGGCTTGCTCAGTGATTTTATTACTCCTTTCTTCAGTTGGTGCAGTCTTAATTTAATGTGGATTATTTATTTGAATTCATTGCTGAAAACAACTATTTAGCTAATAGAGTTTTACTTTTTACCAGATTTTTGTAATAAAAACTAGAAGATTCTATGCCTGAAAATGTTATAAAGAACTTGGCTAAAATGGATCAACCAAAATAAATTCATTCTATTTCAGTGGCCAAATACACATTGCTACAAGTAGAATGACTTTTTTTGTAACTGTTCGTAATGTACTCTCTCATTTTGAAAGTTCATAAACAAAGCTGTGTTTAAAGACACAGGGGAAGGGTCAGCTTTGTATTAGAGACAGAAAGCTTCATTCTCACTAGCTAACAGACTATTTCCTTGTTGTGTCTTTTGATGGCTACAGATTAAATGCTATGTGGGGGAAAAACTCATTTTAAACACTTTGCTTCAAAATGACACCCTTTAATGTTTTTTTCCTCTGATGTTAAATTATCTTCTCATCTAAAAGGCAACAAACAACAACCCCCACCCCCACCCCTATGTTTGTAGATTAAGTACCTGTGCAGAGCTTTAACAGAGGTCTGGAAAGAAGAGGAAGTCTGCATGTAAGGCTTCTAAGAGTAGTTGCATTTTGCCTTTTTATCCTTCTGGGCTCTCTGGGACTTGTAAACTGAGGAGATTTACTGCTGCCCTTCTAAATGCTGCTTAGGAATTTCAGAAATTTGAACTCTTAATTCTAAAAGTCCTCAGGAGGGAAAGGGATAGGGGAAAGTGATGGTCATAAGCTGAGCAGAACAAACTGCAGGATTTTCCAGAGTGGCTCTGCTGGTTATATTGGCAGATTGTCTTACTAAAATCAAATCGGTGAAACCCTTCCCAGGAAAACTCATGTAGTTGTGAACAATGTCTTCTTGCACCCTTGTTTTGATTTGAGTTTTGAGTTTCTTTCTGTGATTCTGGCTTCTATTGCTAAAATTTGGAAGATCCAAACTGGGGGGTCTGATTTGATGTTGTACATTGTAGAGATCCACCAATACATCAGTCTGATCTTAGATCGGTACCGATATAAAGAAAATTGTCTATATTGCATATCGGCCCAATGGGGCCGATAATTTGGGCAATAAGTGCCCATGCTGCATACAGCCACAGTGTAGCACGGAGCAGAACTGGCATCGTGGAGAGCTGCCTTCTGGTGTGGTGAAAGGGGAGGGGGGAGGGAAGAGGTATGCTGGGGCAGATCAACACCCCTGGGGTGAGGGAAGGGGCAGGGGCAGGCGCTGTCCAGCCTAGGTAGGGGGGCATGGGACAGAGATGTGACTCCTGAAGTGGGGGCAGCTCCTGCTGGTGCTTGCACCCTGGGAGGGCGGGGGGACATGTGTCCCCAGATCTGCGGGGCAGTGGGCTGCCCTGCGTGACGGAGCTGGCGCTGAGCAGGCCTTTTCTTGCCGGGGGGCTGGGCCAGAGCGGGCTCCGGAGACGCTGGAGGAGGCTGTAGCCACCCCAAATTTCACTGAGCTCAACTCCCAGCCCTGCGCTACTGCCCACAACAGCCCCGGCTTTTCCCGGCACTTGGGTAGAGGTGGGGCATTCAGCTGGGGCTGATCGGATGTTGGATCGGTATTGGCTGATATGCCTCCTTAAATATAGACTATTGGTATCATCCCCCAAAATCTCTATCAGTGTACCCCTAGTACATTGGGTTGAGTGTGGAGGCCTCCAACTTGAAGTGAAAGGCTCACAAGAGTATCTCTGAATACTTCTGTCATGTACCAGGTATGATCAAGTAGTACTTACTACTGCATGGCTGTGTATTGCTCTCTGTGCTGTTGAAAGTGCCATTCACTCCCTGAATGAAAACTTGGCTCCTTTGTAGTCCATGGTCAAGCTCCCATTGACTTCAGTGGGATCAGGATTTCACTCTGTTTTTATTTTATTATTTTTCTTTTTGTGCATTGGCATTTTAACACTTTCAGCCCTAGTGGTTCTCTTTCTCCTCCCTGTGTGTTGCAGCCAGGCTGCATTGGTAAAGTGTCTCCGGAGGCAGTAGTTCTTAGTACATCGCTTGTTTAGATTGTGCGGGCTGCTGTGTACCTCTTCTTCCCAGGGACAAAATTATGGGAAAGGGATGTAAGCAAGAGTTTCAATTGGAATCCTGGATATAGCCTCTAAGAAGAGGTAAATGGCTGTATGTTGTACCATAGCTTTACTAGAGGTTCCTTTAAAAAAAGGGAAATGTCCTATATAAACTGTGGGGCATTAACATATTACATAGTAGTTATGTAACCCTGCAAGGTGAATCACTTTAATGGGTAGAAAAATCCCTCAGTAATAGTTTTGTTTTCTTTTTTTCCAGAGAAAGTGCTATAAATATATAACTTGACTTCAACATTTGCAGGCATGTTGCTAGATAGGTTGAGAAAAACACTCTTTGCCTGAAAATCAAATTATTTTTGAAGTCTTCTCTGTCATCTTAACAGCTTGAAGCTATATGTATTTAACTGCCAAATGCTGGCCCTTTCCATTTCAAACGGGTTCTGCCCCCAACACCCTGTGCCTCTCTAGCACCTCTGATGATTGGCCTTTTTTTGTCCTGTGATGCATTTTGAAGTTGGATGTTTTGGGGTGAAAGTGCTAAAAGGAGAGAGAGAGCTGCTAACAATATTCTCACCTGCCTTAAATTTTCCGTGATGTAATATATCCAGCATATCAGGAATTCTTGCTGTGATAGCCAAGGGTTGGGGCGAGACAAAGGGCTTGGAAAACTATTAATTAATTTTCACATTAAAACTGAAATCTGTTCCCATAACCAAATAAAAATGAGGTAATACCACTAGACACCTAAACCACTGAAGCTGTACATTACTAGAATGATTTAGTCTTTGTTCCTAGTGAGTATATGGGTAGCATAGTTCAGTATTCAACTTCCTGTTTGAAGTGGAGATTCTTCTAGGTAAGGTTGGGACTATCCTGCCTAGGGACACTGTGTAAATACCTACTAGTCAGTGCAGTCTGTTCCATTGCAACAGCAAAATTCTGCTCATCTGAGATATTTTGATACCCCAGGAATAAGCTGTCTGTGATGGGGGCTGTTTATCAGTTCTCTCTTGAATGTCAGAGTTGTACTACCAAGGACAACTGCCTCACCAGGGATCCCCAGAAAAAAGATGAACCCTCTCATGTGGAAAAGGGTGTTCCCAGCTCTCTTTTTACTTTAATGGCAGAATCTTAAGACAGTGTTCCTAAGAATCCCTTCTAGCATGTATCTGCTGTAAATAACTTGGTATTATCCTGAAGGTACTCATGCTCGCTTTCTTCCCTCCACCCCGCTTGGAGTAACTAGGAAGAATGGTCACAAACTGGCAGAGAGCAGATTTAGGTTAGACATCAGGAAGAACTTCTTCATGGTAAGGGTGGTCAAGATCTGGAATGGGCTTCCAAGGGAGGTGGTGCTCTCCCATGCCTTGGTGGTCTTTGAGAGGAGGCTGGGCATGCACTTGGCTGGGGTCATCTGACCCCAGCACTCTTTCTTGCCCAGGGCAGGGGGTCAGACTTGATGATCTGCTAAGGTCTGTTCTGACCCTAGCATCTATGAATCTAAGAGAGAGACTTTTAAGAGGGGAAGGCAGGTGTATTTGTATTTGTATTTTGCATCTTCTGACATGTGGGCATTCAGCCTGAGCCCCAATTCTTGTCTGGCAGGCTTCAGTAGCTTCTGCATATGAAACAAGTTCTTCTCTTGGTTTCCAAATAAAGAGACCCATGTTCTAATCGGTAATCACTATTCAGGAGCTGCTGCATACCAGTAAAACCTGTGCAACTGGAGAATTAGAAATAAGATATAAACCTGGCTATGGAGGAGAACATGGAAAAGGAATATTTTTAAAACAACTTTATTACATTCAAGTGTTTAGAATCAGTAAACAATTTTTTTGTTCAAGGACAACAGATTTTAAATGTGAAGCATAGACTTTTAAAATTATATGAATAAATAGTTGAATAAAATGGCAGATACCCTGCAACTAACGTCCTAGATTTATCTCTTTTTTTAGTATATAAACGTTGGTTAATTTAATTATAGAATCATGTATTTTACTTGCATAATCTTGGTGCCCTTTAGCTGAAATTGACAGGTTTTTTAAACTAAACTAGAAAAAATTCCCTGTCATAAAATAAAATATGTAGTATTTTTGTATCTGCAGATTTTAATTTTTCAGAACTGCATTAACATCTGTTGTATTCAGTGTTTCTCATGCACCATTTCTGATTTTATTACAGCGGATATTCAACTCCTTTGTGTACACAGAAAAAATCTCAAATGGAGAAAGTGAAGTTCAGCAGGTAAGCAATAGCAGAATGCAAGAAAATCCCTTACCTAGCCAATCCCGCTCCCTGAATAGCATTTTAAAGAGACACAGTTAATTTTAAAATCTCAGTCCTATCTGAATTAGTCTTACTCCCTAGTCCTTCATGCAACACTTAAGGAAACAACTACTGAAAATAGAGACTATTTCAGTTGTTGTGTTTATTTGGCAGTCTCCCTTTCCCCTGAATGGGAAAGAAGTTTGATTTATTCTTTATTTGGGTTTTTTCACAGAAACGAGAAAAAAATCTTTTCTGGTATAGGCAGTACTTGGAGATGGGTGCAGTACTTGATGCTGCATTTTTTTTTTAAATTGACAGTGTCCTTTTAAATTATTTTTACTTTAGGTGCATGTTGACTGATCTGGTACCAACACATTGGCATTATGTATACAGCATTGCAAATGTATGGGTTTTCATGTTTAATTTCCACCAAAATTTATATACTTTATGTGCAAGTATATAGTTGGGTTACAGCTGATATCAGCTTTCAAATGCTAATCAATTTCTTTAAAAGAATATATTTGAAAATGTGTTTGTGGTAAAACCCTAACATCAAATCTTCAGTTGAATATAAATGTAAAAATTAGAAATAAACAACATTGGTTATTGCTTTTTTAATCTATTAAGGGGTATTAAACAGTTACTGTATGTTTATATTAAGAATCAGATTAATTAAAAATACTAAATTTCTAGCTGTGCTTTTAATTTGTTAAAGTCCATCTTCATGCTGCATGTGCTCGATTTTGTTAGTGACAAGCATTGCCTTATGAAGACCTGGCTTTTGATTCCAGTTAAAGACATTGACTGACTGACTTGACCTTCAGCAAGTAACATGACCTCCATCAAACTAGTTTTTATGTTTAGTAAAAAACAAAACTGGCTCAGAACAGAGTTTTCCCAGATGAAGAATTAATTGCCTTCAAAGCTTGCAAGTAATTTTTAACTTGGTGTCTGAACCAATGTTGTACTCCTTCAGGAGCATTTGACTACATTGCATAAGCTTATTCATTTGCATTTGGTATGCAGATAAGTAAAATAATATTCCAGGTAATATTAGTTTTAAACTACAAAAAACAATTGGCCATGATTTGCTCTCCAAAGGAAAAAGTGAAAGAGATGGGGCCACTTAAAATTCTGGCTACAGTCAGTAAACTCTGGGCAAGTTTGGCTTTGAAATTAATTGTCAAGTTCTTCTCTGCCAATCCATTAGCTTAGGATAGGGTTATGGTATTGTAGGACCATAGGATTGTAGGAAAGTAGGATTGGAAGGGACCAGGCCTAGCTCAAGGCAGGTTCAACCATGACTGAACCATCCTAGCCAAGTGTCTGTTCATCCTGCTCTTGAGAATTTCCAAGGATGGAGATTCCCCAGTTTCTCTAGATAGCCTGTTCCATCCTCATAGTCAGAAAGTTCCTCCTAATCTCCAGCCTAAATTTCCTCTACTTCAATTTGAGGCCATTGCTTCTAGTGCTGTCCCCTACAGCCACTGAGAAAAGCCGATCTCTATCTTCTCTATAATCGCCCTTCAGGTATGGGAAGACTGTTCTCCCGTCAATCTTCTCTCCAGATGAAATAACTGCAGTTCTTTCAGCCTTTCTTTATAAGACTTGCTTTTCAGGTCCCTACTCATTTTTGTTACTCTGTGCTAACTCTTTCCAATCTGTCCACATCCTTGAAGTGAGGGCCCCAAAACTAGACACCGTGCTCCAGGTCTCACCAGTACTCCAGTCTCACCAGCGCTAAATAGAGCTGCAGAATCACTTCCCTTAATTTGCAAGTGACAGTCCTGTTAATACTACCCAGTATGCTCTGGGCTTTCTTTTCAACAAGAACATACTGCTCATGTTCTGTTTATGATCTGCTGTAACTCCCAGGTCATTATCTGCACTATTGCAGCCTAGTCAGTCCTAGTCTGCATTTGTGCATACAGTTATTCTGTCCCCATATGCAGGACTTTGCACTTGTCCTTGTTGAATCTCATCTGACTGATTGCTGACCATTTCTCCTATTCAGTGCATTCTGGATCTAAGTCCTAACCTCCAGAGTATCTGCAACTCCACCCAATGTGGTATCATTTGAAAATTTGCCAAGTGTGTGCCCAACCCCATCATCCAAATCATTAAGCAGGGAGAGGGGGAGTGCACAGCTAAATGCAGGGCGGCAGCAGCCACTGCATGCAAGCTTTCTCTGGCCCCCACGTCTTGCCGGCTGGGTGGCGCCTGTGCGGCAGCGCAGGATGGTGTGTGGCGGTGCTCCGTTCTGCCTGCACACACATAACCCCTAGGGCCTTCTCAAGTACCCCCGGGGCTACACATACCCCCAGTTGACAACCCTTGTATTAAACAATACTGGATTTAGGACAGACCCCTGAGGAACCCCACTTGATGCCTCCTTGAGGAGAGTAGAGATGCTATGCAGAAGACAAAATAAAAAGAATAATCCTAGAATTGTTAGGCACTTTTAAAAATACTCAATTGTAAGAACCCTCTTCTATGCTTGAGCTAAAATTTAAGGTGGGATAATATATTGGCGCACAGTTTTTATGCCAGTATGATTAGTGATTCAGGATTACAAATTGACTTTCAGATTAAAACCCCCACACTTTGAAAAGTGTCTCATATAACTTGAAACTATTACAACTGAAAATAGAGAGATGTATATTATATAATACAATATGCTCTATAGGGATTTTTTCTAGCCTCTGTCATTCAAGGGTTAGATTGTATTTGTTCGAGCCTGATCAACAATTATGAACATCTATCTTTTCATGAAATATATTAATCTCTTTGCCACAATATTTCATAGCAGTTGGCTCCAAAAATTAAATGAATATTATAGAAACAGAATTCCATTTTTGTTGGTGAATGTTTGTTTGCCCTTCCTGTAAATGGAGAATACAGCTGTTCTTGTAATGTAAGATGGGATCAATATGATAGGCGGGCTTTCTTTTTTACTACTTGTAATTATTCTATACACTTTGCATATCACCAAAGCTACCTCTCCATTTTTGGCCCTCAACTAAATTGTGCGTAAGACTTTTCATGCCTCTAACAATGTCCCTCATATTCACTAGACTGCTATGGCTTTACCCTTTTTGTGTTGAAAGGACCAGAAGTGAGCTCAGTAATGAGGATAGGGAATATGCTGTCATTTGACATGAAGGCCATTATATTATTTTAAGTACTATTATCTTTTCCCTAATATCAGTGCTGATTTTTTTTATGAATTTTTGAGTACAGAATGTAGAGCTTTGAGCTGTTCCTCGTTATATAATGTGCTAAGTGCAGGGTGGGTTTTAGCTGAAGTGGTTCCAGATAATTGAGAACCCACTTATAAGTTTGAGTACTTCTGATTTTTTTCTCGTACATTATCATGCATTTGTCTAAACTAAACCTCATTGTTGCCTAGTTCCCTAATTGTGATTTATTTTCCTGTTTTTCTTTGGTGAAACATATTGTAAAGTAAATAAAATAAGGTAAAATAAAACCCTTTTTGTTAATATTAGAACTTAGGAAATCCATTTGTTCTAAGTAAAACTAAAATTTTCTATCCTAAGCCACCTGACTGTTTCTCTGTCTAAAATGTAATTGCTCTACTACTCAGCAGCATTGCCAGAGAAACCATGGAAACTGTGGAGGAAACAAAATAATACCCAAGCAAGACCCAAGGACATTTTCTAGTGTAGTTAACTCAGTGGTATTGTAAGCACCAAGGTGTATTGTCTTCTTTTTTTTTTTTTAATTAGAAATGCAGTGTACTTGGCTCAATTGCATCCATTCCTATCATGTACGCATATATTATGCAAGCATCCAGAATGCAAAAGTTCTTGCTACTGTTCCATAATAGTACAAGAAAATGAAAATATTTGTCTATGGGGGCACATAGAAAAGTTCAGTGATATTTATACTGTGCACAAAAATCTCTTGTAATGATATTAAACCTAATGTAATGAGGAGCAGCAACTGTCTGCATCGTTAATTGTCTAGAATTATCAGGAATGCTGCCAATCATATTACCCCAACATTTTCCTTGAAGGCGATGGAATTAATTTGTTGTGTAAGTTGCCCAAAATTGGAGGGGGAGGAGAATTAGAAACATTTGCTTTCCTCCCATTGAAGGTAGGAGGGGGAGGGAAGGCAAGAAAAACTTTATCCTTCCAAAGTACAAATGATGGTAGGTAATTTTTTGTAAAATAATGTGGAAGTTGGAACAGAATAATGCAGTTAAAGAGGTGAAGTTAAATAAATGTGTTTTGAAATTTAGGGTATTTTAATATGCTGGAGGTACAATAGCATGAATAGAAATGTTTTATGAAATGCAGTGTATAGGTCATTTTTCTTTTGTAGAGTGTGTCTGTGGAAGCAGAGTGATTTATTTTTGGCATTTCTGAATGATTACAGGAAAGTGACCATCTGTTCAAAATCCAGAAAAGTTGGATGATGCCGTTTCATCCCGTTAAAATAAATAAAAAGTTTATTTTTATACAGACCAAGATTATGAAAAAGAGAGAAGTAGCTTTGTTTTGCACTAAGTTTTTAGGTACCCAAATTAGGATACCATATTAGGGTCTCCTTTTTTTCAGAAGCTGCTCAGCTTTCATTCCTCTGAGATTCAAGCCACAAGGTGTCTTAAGCTGAGCATCCAAAATTTGAAAGCAATTAACAATAATTAGTTACTTTGAAAATATATACCATGTTTTTAGAGTAACAAAAACAATTTGGTTTATTGTAAAAGCCAATGTAAGGAGACTTATTTCTATGCAAACATGGTCAATGGTGCACTATGACCAAAATGGGGCAATTGTCAATGTAGCTTTTAAGATTTAGATCTTAAACTGTCTTGACATTTTTAAAGAAAGGTTTACTGGCTTTAAATTAAACGTAGAGTAATAATTTTTCACAACCATTTCTGGGTGGTTTGCAGACAACAAAAAAGGCATGCAGGACAAGTTATGCATATGAGATGGCTTTTGAAA